TCTTTCCTTTCGGGGTTACGTGATGTCCAGTTGGTTAGTGGAGGTTTTCTCCTTCTTGTCAGCTTCTTCTTCCTAGAGAGTGCGGTGGCGAGGGGAACGACGTGAGGGGGTCTGTGCCTTTTCTTCAGTCTTGTTCAGTGTGGAATCCGAGTACCGTAGTGAGGGGAAACAGGGTGGGGGGAAAGGATAACTGGGGAATGAGTAGCCCTACGATGACATATTTTATAACCTAACTTAATCTAGTTGCCTAATTTCAGTTAACAGTTACTAAAAATAAGGAGAAAAGTAATTGTTACGGGCCAGGGGAGAGGCTCAAATAATTGCCTCGTCACTGAGTGTATCATAGCGCGATTTGATACCTTCAATTTAAGCTAATATATTTCGGTCAGAGTTGAACAGCTAAAATTACAAATTGTAATTAATGATAACTGTTTCAATCATTGATACATTTCAAACTTTCATTGCTGCTTTTTCCTTTGACCAATTGTGACAATCAAGAATTCAAATAATCGGCAAACAGCTCAATATATTTGTTTTTTAAGGCTGTTCCACATCCATTTATTGTCAAATTTCACATTTGTTAATTTTTTTTTGCAAATTATTGATAGGATTGATGTAAAAAAATATCAAGTTTCTTGTACCACCACAAAAGTACGAGAGTCATTAAATAATCACAGAATACAAAAACGTTATATATATTCACGTCAATCCCATAGTAAGTTTGTCAGAAAAATGAACGACGTTAATTTTGGTTATATATATGTGTACGACACCCTCAAGAAAACAGGAGATGCAGAAAGGAAATTGGAACAATTTTTTGAAATTCGAATGGGAACATTATTAATATCAACAGTAACAATAACCAGAATCCCCACACCGCTCTATGCAGAAATTCTTCGTTAAGTTTTCCCTTTTTAATTCATTTTTTATTAATCACTCCACACTACAATAACTGCCATCATTGTCCCCACTATGCTCGTACTAGGACCCGTATAATTGAAATGATTATAAAATTTATTGGATTCCAAATTCGAGCCTATGGCTTTGCTACGAGCTAACTGCAGGTTGCCCATGCCTGTCATAGCATATAGCATATAAAGTATTGGACACCAAAAACAAGGTGAAGACGAACAGTTGGACCGGCCGCTGGATATGCCTTGAACTTACTCAAGATCGTGGCGCATATTGAATCGATAGAAGCTCCTTCAACTCCAGACCCACTAGTCATCCGCCGTTACCTCGTCGTCACCTCTTTCGTGCGACACCAGATAAAACTCCTGAAATATAAGATCGTCACCTCACGCTCCCAAACGAAGCATGAGATCATCCGGGAGATACAGGTGCATCTCCTAATGCTCCAGTCAAGCGGATGTCAGCCCGCGAGTAGTCTTGCGGCCGTTCTAATCGAGGACTCGTGCTGGACTGTTAAAAATCTCTTAGGGCCTTCTCCTCCTAGTCTGGATATCTCAGCGGTAAGCCGGTCATTTTGTTACCTGTTCTATGGTCAATCTATTCGACAGGATCTCGGAGGCGCCAGTCTTCGTGCCTAGATTTCCATTCGTATCGAGAAGGACCTCGTTCTAACATAAAAACGACCTGGTTCTATTCAAATATGAAATGGAATTTGTTATAATAAATAATAAATTAATATAATAAATAATAATAAATTAATATAATAAATTCCATTTTATATTTGAATAGAACCAGGTCGTTTTTATGTTAGAACCAGGTCCTTCTCGATACGAATGGAAATTTAGGCACGAAGACTGGCGCCTCCGAGATCCTGTCGAATAGATTGGCTATAGAACAGGTAACAAAATGACCGGCTTACCACTGAGATATCCAGACTAGGAGGAGAAGGCCCTGAGAGATTTTTAACAGTCGAGCACGAGCCTTCGATTAGAACGGTCGCAAGGCTACTCGCAGGCTGACATCCGCATGACTGGCGCATTAGAAGATGCACCTTTATCTCCCGGATGATCTCATGCTTTGTTTGGGAGCGTGAGGTGACGACCTTATATTTCAGGAGTTTTATCTGGTGTCGCACGAAAGAGGTGACGACGAGGTGACGGCGGATGACCAGTGGGTCTGGAGTTGAAGAAGCTCCTATCGATTCGATATGCGCCACGATCTTGAGTAAGTTCAAGGCATATCCAGTGGCCGGTCCAACTGTTCGTCTTCACCTTATTTTTGGTGTCCAAGACATTCCCTACGCTGGAGATTAATATTTCCATTCCAAAATTGTTTAAAGCAGTTTTTACATGTGCTATGAGATACTGTACTCTCTGCCAAAGTTGAACATAATTACTTGTGCTTCTACAGCAATTTTTGCAAATCGGAAGGTGAAAACAAGGAAGTGCATAACGTGCTCCTTGTCGAAGGACATTTTGGTTTAGTATCGGTTTTGAGGTTGTGTCAATCGAACCAGAACCGTACTCAAATAATTTCCTAGCTCATAGATGATGCTTAAAAACTCTCTTTATTGAAGAAAATGTCTAAAAATTTGAGTAGGTATTCTAATTAATTTAATTCAGGTGCTGGCAATTAAATAATATAGTTAATAGGAATTAGAATTTTCTAAAGAATCAAAATCCAGAATCTCCATCGGGTATTGAGCCGGGGAACTCCCATTTACGTAGTGAGAATTTCTACCAACTGAAATCCTGGGAACTACGGAATTCTCTCTTCCCGAATTCCCTACACTATACCGCTTTCCTCCATCAAGTATTAAAGTCGATTTCAAATGAAAATTGGAATTTTCTAGAGAAAAAAATCCCGAAGCAGAGCCGGGAATCGAAATCGGGACTTCCCACTTAGGCGCGGATACTCTTAGCAACTGAAAGGCCACGAATTACGGAATTCTCTCCTCAGAAATGTCGCGAAGACGACACTAGTCATGAAATATCAATTCACATAGAATCTTGTTTCTCACAAAAAGAAAGTCGTTGTAAAAATTGTGCAGCATTCCAATTTCTGTAACCGAAAACACATGTCAATCAAAATCCAAAAATTTCTGGTTCTCGTTATAGGAAAATACGCGGTTCGTGAAAACGACGAAAGGGTTAGCCAGGTGAAGCTTTCGCTGAAACTCAACGGCAAAACAGTGTTTCTTGTGAAAGGCTTGAAAAGACCCTTGTTCAGACCCTTTGACATTTGGAGAAGCCTCGCAGTGAACCAAACCGAAACGCTTTCGTGATTTAACAGTTTAATCAATCTGACCGGTGAAAACATTGCAATCGTCAATTCATTGGACTATCGATGCAAAAATACGAATCGATTTTTAAAAAGCTCCTGAACTACATATCAAAATGTTTAAAGATTGTTCAAACCGACAGCTAACTAAATTAATAAAAAAACTATAGACCTAACGCCAGGAAGATCAATTGTATCGATTCAGATCATCCAATTGATAAGAAAAAAAATTAATTGAAATCAAAATAATCTAAAGACTCCTTGCACTTTTAATATCGGAGAATGAGAAATATATCCACATTTTATTACAATAATTTCTCTTCATTTGCGCTTTCAACACTCTCTGTCAATTTAAACGTTCAGTGTTGTACGTTGAAAGTTCTGCAAGAAGATTTCAATCTCAGCGCAACAAAGATGACATATTCAACATTAAAATTATGGAAAAATATTCCGTAAAAGTACCACAAGAAAAAGTTAAGCATGGAAGGTCCCCGGTGGTAGTCGACCAACAGTTTGAGCACAGCTCAGGTTTCCACCAAGAATCACCTAATTTAGCTCAAATTTGGAATCCAAGCTTGAACCTTCCTTGGCCATTCATCGATTTATGGCACTGGTCCAAGCTTGGAAGTCAACCGTGATTCAACTTTGTATACCAACTAGAAACCCAAGTGGATCCAAACCTGAGCGAAACTAGGGCCAACCGTCATCGAAGGCAGCAAATTGAGTCAAAGCTTAATCCAAGCCAGTGTGGTGAAAAATTTAATAGGCCAGAAGTGAGGAGGAGTGGAGGCTTTTGGCACTTGTCGGGGATTTTCCTTTGATTGAAGAGGTCAACAGGGCTTTCCCCTTTATCAGTGGGCGGGACGACGTCCGGAGAAAGTATAATTAAACTTTATGGAGAGGGTCGAAGCGGTAAATGGTGGTTGGCAGGCAACATTGAATATCTGTGAAATAGTGTTCGAAGTTAGTCAGTCTAAAGCAAGCGATGATTAAACAGCCACCTGCATTTTTCTGTTTCTGAGATGTTTTTGACATTTTGTGTTGTTTCTCAACGGAAATCTCAAGATGAAGCTCGTACAAGACGACCCTGTACTTTCTGCATTGAAAAAAGGAAAGTATTTCAAGAATCATGGAAAAATCTAGCGGAATTTCTGAATTGGCTGAAAAGTGTTGACTCTCAGTCGAACAGGGCTTTTTCTCGTACTTGTGAAGAAAAGATTGTAGGGAGTGAAAAACATCAAGAAAATATGAAAAAAGTTATTAGGGGTCGCAAACTTGCAACAGCCAATGCTGATGTGAGTGTTATTGAAAACGATTGCGAAGGTGCTTCAGCAGGCCTTACGAACCTTGAAAAGACAGCGGAAATTGTTTCAACTAATTGCGTTATCGGACACAATTTTCCGATTTCTTTCATGGATAATTTTATCGCTGTGATTAAAAGAGCACTTCCTGATAGTCCAAAGCGTTGCGCATTTCTAGAAGAGTATCAACAATTTTTTAACGGTGTAGCCGTCGTTACATTACCTACACATGCCCCTTCGGTAACTTAGTGGGGAGCACTAAGCCCTACGTCCACTGATCTCAATATAACTGGATAGACTATGCCTGTGCCCCCACTATACTCAAAGCGAAGGAAATTGAAGTATCAGCCAGCGCCGCTGCATACCAGGCAAGGTACTACGAACGACGTCAATACGCATGCGCATCACTAAGCGGGATGACGCAGCTGATAACATGCCCCGGAAATATTTCCCGAGTCATAACTGTCTAGTCTTAGTGGCGCGCCAGCTGTATTTCGAAAAATTCCCATGTGATCGAAGTGTGTACTTTTTCCCTCGGAAAAAATGCGGTGCTGCTATTGCAGAAAAATGAAGGAGAAAAATAAGGAGTTAACGTTTTATCAGTGAGTACATGATAATATTCGCTTTATATGCATGTCCGATAATTGTCAATCACGTTTATTCTTTCGTATGTAATCTCATAATATAAAATTCGAATTGTGTTTTTCAATTTTTTTTTCCAACTTACATTTCCGATGAAAACTTGGCGAAGCTGTGAGTGCAGAATATGGGGAAAACCAATTGGATGCTTAAGAAGTGGCATGTGCTCTGTGCGGAACACTTTTCCAAAAAGTCCATTGATTTTCATCACTCCAGAGCTAGATTACGGATAGGGTCTGTTTCAACGATTTTCCAGCATTCTAAAGAAAATTTACCACTATCACCGGCTCTAGAGATTATCGTCCACGTGAATAAATGTAAGCGAATCCTTTTCCAACACTTGTATTCAACAAAAGTGTGTTTTATTCAATATTGAAGTATCCAAAAAAATTTTAAATCAATATAATAATATTATAATATATTAATGAAATACGTTTTTTCTGGTATGAAACTTGAGAAAATTTTGCCTAAAGAAGTGGAGAACAGTAAGCGGGTGACATTATTCTCGTTGGAAGTGCAGAAAAATTTGCCTTTTACATTGTGTGGGAAACTAAGTGGTAATATCTCAATAATCTTTGTGGATAAATTGAATGAATATCGAAAATGGTACGAAAATTTTTTTTCTCTTCCTGTTCACAGATCAATGTCCGAAAAAATCGGCGAACATTGAATCGATCTCACACGATCATTCATATGGCGAGCTTGGAGATGTCGCCCAACGTAAGCTGAAACATGCCCGGGCCAAAGTGGAGAAGCTCTTGCGGGACAAAAAGAAACTTCAACAGAAAACCAATCGTCATCAGGAGAGGATCCAAAAATTCAAAGCCATCATCACTACACTGCGTGCAGCTGGCGATCTTGAAGATGATTATGAGTACAGCCTTGATGGCTTTAATGATATCACTAGAGAGCTTTTTCAACGCGTGCATGATAATGCAAAAACGTGCAAGTGGTCTAAGGAGAAATATTCTCCACAACTGAGGTGTTTTGCTCTGACACTTCATTTCACCATTCAGCAAGGGCCTATAATTATGTTCGAGAAACCCTTGAGGCAGCACTACCTCGCCACAGTATTCTACGTACCTGCTATAGTACTGTAGATGCAGAGCCTGGGTTATCTGAGGAGTGTTTTAGTACTTTGAACTTAAAAAGTCACGAACTCGTAGGGCAGGGTAAACGCCTCATTTGTACCATGATAAATGACGAAATGGGAATTAAATCAGGTGTGCAGCGCTTGAGAGGCGGTAACATTCGTGGATACGTGGATATTGTGATCGAAGCAGCTCGGAAATTTCAATTTTCTGTAGCGAAAAACGCGTTTGTTTTTCTCGTCGGGTCACTTGATGAATCGTGGAAACTTCCAGTAGCTTTTTTTTTGTTGATGACCTGTCTTCGCAAATAAAAACGAATCTTATCAAAGAATGTTTAATTAGATTGAATATGGTTGGAGTGGTAGTTGCAACGTTGACTTTAGATGGTCCAGCAGAGCATTTTGCTACACTTCAGCAACCTGGGGCGGTTATGACAATGGTCTCTACTGCCAAACCCTATTTCTCTCATCTTGTTGAAGGACAACCTGATATCCAAGTGGTAATTGATCCAGCTCATGATCTCAAGAACGTGCGTAATACCTTAAGGAATTGGCAATGTCTGGTACATCATGAAAACAATAGGATTGAATAGGGATACATTCAGGCGTTAGCTTTACTTCAACAGGATGAAGGATTACGATTGGGAAACATGTTGCGTACGACACACATAAAAAAATGAAAATGAAGGTATACTTAGCAGTACAAACATTGAGTTCAAGTGTGGCAGACTCAATTAATTGTTGCGAAGTTTTCCGCTTACCACCATTTGAAGGCAGCGAGGCAACTGTTTCAAATTCATTCGTAAAGTAGATTTGATTTTCGATTTTTTGAGTGTTCGCAATCGGTGGGGAAGGGTTTCGGAGGGAAAATGAACATATTTGGCGCACCCGTATTTTGGAAGCCATCAGATATTTATTCGAGTTGAAATTATCAGACGGTACGCCAATCAAAATGCGCCACTGAAATTTTTCTTAACATATATAGTCAGTCAAGATCATTTGGAGTGTTATGTCCGGAGAATTTTCGCGTCGAAGGACATTGATTTTTCGATCATAAGCTGGAATTTTTTAATTAATATTTTTGGACGACGCTGGATTTTCTTTTGTTCTTACCGTTAGTGAATTTTAGAATAAACAGGTTGAATGCATAAATAAAAAAAAATAGGAGATTTTGAATCGTACAACCTTGCGTTTTATTGGAGCGCTTAAATCGATTTACATTAATTGGTGAAAGTAATTAGAATTTTAAGGAACCCCTTGCAATCTTTGATGGCTCTATTGGGGATTTTACAATTTGATGGTTACTCACTGCGATCGGTTCTTATTTCTTAAAATGTGAATTCTTAGGGTGATTTCACCACGTTTCTCTGCCAGAGGACAATCAGTACACTATCACAGATACTTAGGTGAAATCCCTGTCTTTCACTTAGTTGTTTTGATGAATTTTATTTATCAATTTGAGTCCAGGCTCTCAATAGTTTTTTTATAGTCACTTAATAGTTAATTTTTGAGTCACACCCACCACTGATAATCACTACTTGTTCCCTTAATCCGCAAGAGGTTATTTACTCTCAGTTTAAGAATTCTGTATCCCCGAACAATCGTTAATTTATGTTCCCTACTATTATTTGGGAACACTCCGAAAATTTAATTTAAGATTAACTCCGAAATATTAACTAAAAGTCGGACCGATTCCAATAATTATTCCGCCAGGAAGTTGTAGCTCTTTCGGGAGCGGGATTTTTCAGACTGCCTGTTTCTTGGGAGGCTCCTCTATTTATTTTTACAAGGATTGGCAAATTGATTGGAGTGGGAGAGATGGTGTGATTGCCACCTCTTCGATTTTGAGTTTATTAACCTGGCTTTACTTGCTAGGGAAAATTGTGAGTTGCTAAATTTTGGTTGCAATGGCCTCTGTGGAATGCAGCGTTGCACATTCCCCTGAGGTCATTGGCGGTTTTTTGTGGGTTCCTCAACTTTCGTGGCGGTGATTCATTGGCTCGGCTCGTTTATTTAATTTTTAATCTATTTTTGTTAATTGTACCTGTTTAAAAATAATCTGGACATTACAGGAGTTACTTTTTGCAACAATACGAGGTCGAAGTGGTTGGTGTCCGAATCCAACGCCCACACAATTCATATCCGCGTACAAAAGATTACTCATTTGCCACGATATTCAGATAATTACAGTAAGTACTCCTCTCCGAGATCAGACTAAAATGCTCCATATTTCATCTAGAACAACTAAACAGGTTGCGACAATGGATCGGTACAATATTAACGTTTATAAGGCCATCGAAAATAGCAAGATTAGGCATTTTCTAACGCGACAAATTGTTTGGGCTCATCAGTGATTTTCTTTTTGTGTCCCTTCTATAGCAATAGCATGTGTGATATTTTCGTGTTCCTATTTTTATGATTTATTCTTTAACTATTTTATTATATTATGTTCACTGGTTGATTCTTCAATTGTGAAATGTTTAATCAGGGCATTTCAAGTATCGATTATATTCCGCTACCTATAATCATGGGGACGGTGGGATAAATGGTAACTGTGATAGAAGTTGATATGTCCTTGTCTTCCCCAAGATTTGCATGTCGACAAGATAATGTCGATTTACATCCATGTTTTAATGCCAATGAGTAATTTTCATCAATAACAGGATTGATGATTGCAAAACTGGGTGCTCTCCTATAACGTTTGTAAGCAGTTGCAATTTGAAAATAACCATAGGAAGGTAAGTACAGCAGACTCTCCTATACTATAATGGTGATATAAAATTATGTCGTTGAATAAATAAATTGAAACTCGAAAAAATTATGTTGGGGTGCTATTTTTATATGTAATCTCCTTTCTGCAATTTATGGAATATATATATCCAATGGATATGTTATTAATTATGCCCATAAAAGCCCCCTGAAGACATACTGACGCATTATCCAAATAATCGATCTGGGAAAATTTCCAATTAATCTCTGTGATTAGGAGCACATGCTCGCCCAGAGAACTGTGCCACGTACGCACGTTTGAGAACATTTTAGTTCGATGACTGGTATTGGGACGCGCTGCCTGACTTCCTATAGGACTCACCGGTGGACTATGGAGTCAACTATCCAGTTATATAGAGATCGGTGACTACGTCACAAGATATACTTCCCCCTCTCCCACCCTTTCCCGCCCTGCCGTTTTGAACTATCTGAGGGCCCGCACAACAGGCACTCAAGATAGTTCGTGCTCGGCTCGCCTTGAGCACTGAACTCGCCGGCTGGTTCTCAAAGCGCTCCACTTAACCTCTGTCAGACTTCTTCTCGCTGGCTAGGACGAGCTCTCCTCTTTTCGGATTGAGAGCTAAATACCACAAGCTCTCATGGTTACTGCCTCTCCTCGGGATCTGAGGAAACAACAAAGTCGCTCTCTAGTTGTACCTCTCCTTCACCGGACTGAGGAGTCAGCTAGGTAAGCTCTCTAATTTTTCCCTCCTTTAGAGGGTTGAGAAATTGTTGTCAATGGCTTGCTCTCTGCGCTTAGACCGTCAATCCAAGAAGTGTCTCTCTGACACGTAATTACTTGTTAGCTGTCCAGGTTGCTCTTAAGTAGCCTGACCGCTGCGATGGATAAGAATAGGAAATGTAGAGTTTTTCGATCATGCGATGGTTGTGTCTGCATCAATATCTTAATCGTATCCTTTTAAATTGGGAACATTTGAAACCCTTTTGTCCATAAGCTATGCTGGAACTGGAAATACTCGCAATCAACACGAAAGCTTTATAAATTGATATATGATTAGTGTGTGAAGGCATACTTCTTCTTGTTGAAATGTTGTAATGATTTTTCTTCTATCGTCTCAGCGAATACTCGAAACCCTAACCCAATTTTATCGATATCCGAAAACACGGCCAAAACCATTACCTTCGTTCTCGCAATTCCGACGACTCTGGAACGACAAAACCATAAAAACCTAAACGAAACTCCGGGGGTAATCAGCAGCTCATTCTACTCCTTAAAATGTGTTTAGGGCGCCAGCCGATTTTTAGCTACGCGGAATCGACGAACCGCAACCGTAACTCTAACCGTATTCGAAACTCAATTGTTCACTGATCATCCCCAGAATTTCCTATCAACAGAAGCTAAACCTCGAGTCGTGGAGGTACGAGGGTACGGGACTGCTCGGTTGCTCAGTGTGCGGGTCGTGGAGAGAGGGGTGGATTCGTGGACGAGAGCCTCAATTATCCAAATTCGAAATAATATCAAGAATCTGAACTAAACTATTCGGGTATTTATAAGGACGGGGATTCGGGTAGGAAAATAAAACCAATCGGAACTGTGCTTATTTGTTTCACTATTGACCAGGCCAAGAAATGAATATTGTTCATTAGGAAACTTATATTTTCTTTCACTCGTATACCCTTTCGGGTTTTTACGATTTGTTCCCTTCCCACCCCCCAACCCCCTGTACTGCATTTGCTGAAAGGGAGGGAAAACCTCATCTGAGGGAAAAACCTGCCCTGGTACAGTCGTCCTTTTTGACAGGACTACCGCTCGGCAGTGAAACCGTGAGATCAGAGCGCTATATATTTTTGACCGCCGGTGCCCGGGATCGAACCCGGATCCTTGGCATGCTAGTCCAGCACTCTAACCGCACGGCCACTACCGTCGGTCATTAGGAAACTTATAATTAATATAGATTGCTCGGTTTAAAGTTTCTATAGGACTAGAGTTAGCCAAAAAAAAAGGATTTAATTTTGAATAAAATATAAAGGGAACAATAATAGATGGGAACTTTATAATGCAGTACTGAAGGGAGAAGGGCTTTTAACTTGATTTAATTAATTATGTTCTCCAGGTGGGAAAGGTAGGAAACTGTAGGGTATCCTATTCGCGAGAGGGAGAGATAGCGTAGGGGCTCGAGCGAGAGAGAGAGAGAGATACGACATTCTAATTCCTACTGAGCAGTCGATAGGACCTGATTCTATTAGGTAGCTGTATCCAGTCGTTTGGAAGCCACTTTACTCGGTTTGGTAGCTCCATCCTGATTAATTCCTTAAATCAGGAATATTTTTCGGTTAGGTAGCGGGGTAAACGTTTAAATAGCGGAACTGGCCCACCGACATAGGGAGTCATTAGGTAGCTCATTTCCCTCATTAGGTAGCGTTATCCGGAGGGTTTGGCATGACCGTTTCCGATCAAGGGCTAAATCAACAACCGTGTTGGGGTAGGTCGCCGTGACTGAATTTTCCCGTTTAATTAGTGGGGGATTAACT